CCTGCACTTGGCCTTGTTGAGCCTCATGAGCTTCACATGGGCCCTGAATAGTCTAAACACATCTAAATACATTCAAGTATCGGAATACTGCAGTTTTCTGTAATTTCTTGCAATAATTCAAACAAGGAATATGAATTGACAGTATTCATTGTTCTCACAGTATGGGAGCAAATAGTGGTGTGCCCTTGTCTGGTAAGACTGGAAGGCAAAGGGATTAGATTCTCTTTCCTGTTGGTTTGTCCACAGGAAAGGAGCACCTTATTCCATGCAGTGAATAAAGTGTTTCCCTTTGGCTGGGGCAACTGTCAAATGCCTGTTATATTTTGTTCTCACTCACTGTTATGGCTCAGTTAGGGGACTGATGAGAAGAGCTGTACTTCACCTGGTTAGAACACTTCCATATTCACTGCTCATGTTGTTGGGAGGACTTTGATATTGGAAGACTCTGCAGTGCAGATTTGCGTATGGTTCCATAGGCCTGGGAGTAACTACCCATCGATGCTTTCGGATCACCAGCAGCTCCCGTATTTGCAGTAATCTGGAACATCTTTTTACTGGACTTCAGAAGGGGTCGAACATCTTTGCTGTGAAAGTGAGTATTTCTTGGATTCTGTGTGAGAAGGAAAAGCCAAGATACATTAGTAACCTGTAATCAACTTCCTAAAATACAAATTTTGTTTCAGCTGAGCAGTAGGACAGATCGTGAATGTTACATGAATAATAAACAAAACAGACTGTTTTGTAAGATCAAGAAAAGGCTGGTGAGAATGATGTGAGGGAGAAGGGCTTAAGAATGCGTGTATCAAGAATGAGCTAGTGGCACTGGAGTGAGATACAACAAAGTAATCCTGCACTGGAGCAAAAGTCCAACGGCCTGTTTGGCTAGTATCTTGTTTTCAATAGCAGTGAATGCTTTAAACATATATACAAAAGGTAGAGCATCATCATCATTCCCCTGTATATCCTTCTGGCTTCTGCCAATCAAATGGCTTGGTGACTTTCTCAGTTGGAAGCTGCATGTGGAAACTGTGTGTATCAGCCCCTGCGGTGAAAAGTTAACGATACATTAATACATTGCAGTACGTAACACATGAGAAAACATTTGTGCCTGCAGTTCAAGAGGAGAGCCGTTTCACTAGAGCTTCGGCTTTGTGAACCTCTGTAGTTAACTGAAAGGTGAGAGTTTCCATGCACTACTCTGGCACTGGCTGCTGTCACCTCAGCCATTACAGCAGTCTTTCCTGGTCAAATGTCTGAGAACAAAATGTTTATGAGCCTGACAAGATATTGAAAATTAATGCAGACTGAACACAGAGCAAACTGGAATGTCAGAACTTTTCAGCTCCTGCTGAGGCTGAATGAGAAAGATGGAAAAGTCAAGAGTCACTTAACGTAAGATCAGCCACAATGCCGATGACCTTCTACTGCAATATCCTATCTCTGACACTAGTCAGTATTAGCCTTTCGGGGAACAAATGTAAGCACAGGGCATATGTAGGGTGATCTACTCCCTATTACGCTCTTCCAGTAACACAAAGGTGGTCACAGTTACCTAAAGATTCTTAAAAATGCATTGTTCATATGTACATCTGCACATGCAGCAATCTCCACAATCTCATCTGAAACCTTCATGTTCAGCAACAGCAACCCATTAGGATGATTCCAGAGGTAGTGCAAATCCTCCAGCTAAATTTGGAATACCCAACAGTCTCAATGTGGTTAAAAAAGAATTTGCTACCTACTTTGGATAGGCCAAGCCATCGCTGAAGACAATGTAAAAGCAACTGATCTGTGATTCTCAAAGGGAGCTTTTGGTGCTGCTGACAATCTGAACAATGCAGTAATCTGAAATAGTTCTGTGATTCTCAAAGGGAGCTTTTGGTGCTGAATCTGAACAATCTGAACAATGCAGTAATCTGAAATAGCGTTCAAATCCTCACTTGTCTGAAGTGATAAAATTGAAAGTAGAATCGAGTCCAAAATTAGCCTGAACTCTAGAAAAAGGGTAATGGGAAAAAAGTCATATATCTCAGCACATCTCAGAAGACATGGTAAAAACTCAAGATGGGAAAAAGAAGTGGAGGCAGAGAATCTGCAGAGATACTTTTACTTTTTTATTGCAGTTAGCTGACATATATGATACATTATAATTAATCTTTGTGAAAAAAAAAATACTGCTAATGAGGTAGAGATCTAGATTTACAAAAGGGCTGTGTTACTTCATGTTCTCTGAAGTACCTAATTCCCGTACTTACAGTCACTCACAGAACTCCTGCATAAACCTATAGGCACCAAAATACCCTTGCTGCTCAAGTCACAGGTGATAGGGTTTTCTGAAGGACTGTGGTTAGAGAAAGTTAGTTTTTATAAACCCAGACTAGCTGAAGATCAGAATTACATATGCTGGAGATGTAAGGTTTAAGTCACACCTGTGCCCTTAGCACTTCCTGGTGATTACTATAGATGGTCTTCCTCTCAATGCTCTGTCTCATGCACAGAACTTAACTCAGGGTTGTAAACGTCATTAGTAGACAAATCACCTGAAATGTAGGTATTGCAACACTGAAGACTGCAATATGCAAGTTCCTGTATGAATCTACTCCATCTTAGAGGCAAGTTATGTCTAGTTATTTCTGCTACCAGCAGAAACTCTTCAGTTAGCACACTCCTCAGCTCTCCAGTAAAGGGAACATACTCTATATAAGCCCAGCTGCCTTGTCAAACTACGTTACTGGTACCATTTGACTGACACTACATACAAGCAATGAAAATGCAGTGTATAGATTTGTCATAAGTAATTTTAACTGATTAAAATTTATTCGTTTAGTCACTCACAGAGCAGTGTGCTTCACCTCTCATTTAAGTATCTTTACAAGTTGCAAATTAAGATATTTTTTGTCTATATCATTTTGGTCCATGAAAAGTTCTGGCTTTTTTTTTTTTCCAGTAGGACTGCTACTCACACTATAAAGGTTCTGTACACTTGTAGGAGGTAGCTGAGCGTTTGCATTTGCCCATGTGATTTGTCTCCCCAGTTTCCTATTGTTGGAGACTCTGGCCTGTTGAGAAGGTGGTGCAGAACAGTTCCTGACCACAGCACCAGAATTTGCATTACCTGCAGAAGAAAATACACGAGACAAAGTAGGAAAGTCATGAGGACAGAGAACACACTGACTGAGGCAGGGACAGAACATAAAAACTGTCAGCCCCTGCCACCTTGCTTCATCTCACAAACAGAACAAAAATATTCAGAATAAAATTAGCACGTAGTAGCAAACTAAACCAGTTCAAAAGGGCATGGGAAAAGAGAACAGCAGTAGAGAAGCAAAGAGAAAACAGAACAGAACATAGAGTCAAGAATGAGGCAGGAAAGAGCTGAAGAGAATGTCATGCACTCAAAACTCATTCAACAGTGTTTTGTTCTTATGTCATTTCCCTCCTGCACTTTCACCCTTTTATTTTGCCATGTAAATTCCCCTTATTTCTTCTTCCCCCACTCAATCTCTCTTATTTCTTCCCTATAATAATTCCTCATGGTGGATTACATCCCACTGTAGGAGGGCAGTACCTACTTGGAACAGCAGTGTGTGTTATGGGATTGTATATCACATTGATCTTTGAGCTCTGACATAAAGTTCTTGCTATATCTTCACTCTGGCTGGACACTTCTGGCTGGACACTAGTTGTAGTTCCAGCATGCACATGAGAAGATTTTAGAAGAGGCGGTGTTTGTTCTCTCTGGCCTTTCCTGGTACGTAAAGTCACAGAACTGGAATTTGGAAGAAGTGGCCTGGATTCAGACTGACTTAGCTGAATGTTTTCTCTCCGCACTTGCTCCTTTGGATGGCTATTTAATTTCTTTTCAAGGATCATCTGCAGAAAAGAGGAGTTGGTTAGATGTAGCATGGCTACATAGCAGAGCAGAGGAACAAAACATAGAAACAAAGAGAAATGCTTGCAAATACCTGCAATTTATTTCACAGGCTAGGTTACAAGTACAATTTTAAAATTAATTTAGGGTTGGAAAGAAAGAATACGCTGAAGCATTAAGAAAAATGATTGGGTCAACAGGCAATTTCAGTATATCCTGAGGCAGAACGCCACTAAATAAAATGAGCATTAGCCTTGGAAAAGACAGAATCTGTATGCCTAAAAGGTTAACACTAGGTTGTTTCTTAACATCCCTTTCTAGAATTTTGCAAAGCTGATTTTTTAATGTTCAAAGCAACATTAATTCCAGTTAGTTCATAATTATTTCTCATCTACCTCTACATATTATTATGCAGCAACAGAATTCTTGCCAAGATTTTTGGGTCTTGGTGCAGACAACCTGCTCTCAACTTCCTGTACTCACAGTTGCTACAAATTTGACACGCTATCAGTAAGATTATTCAAAACTATTCACTTGTTTCTTAGCCTTCTACCTAGATTATCTGTGACTAATCTATTGACATTTAGAATATCCTTTCTGCATGTGCTCAGTATTCACTTTACTAATTCATCTGCTCATGACTCCTAACACTCGACCACAGTAGAGTTTATTAATTTCATTCTATTAAAGATCTTAAAAGAAATTTTTCTTTCTTAGATTTTAATTGCTGTTACTAGAAGCAGTAACACTTTTCTTCTCTCTCTCTGGGAAGGTGGACACCCTTATCCATCTTTCTCCATCTTGGATTTTCTGATCTCTAAGCTTCCTTTTCAATCTTCTCTTCCCACTATCATTCTTTCCAATGCTTGTTTTACTACATTTACATTCCAACTCCTGCTCTTCTCACCATCTTCCAGTTCTTTTGCCTCATAATATGGCACTTACAGAATTTCTTCACTGTAAAAAGAAAAAAAACACAGCAAAACTAAGCCAAAACTGATTTCTCCTCCTGAAGTGTTGCTTTACTTCCACTTTTGCTGCTCTTCATATTTCATTGTTAGAGCATTCATGCTGGCTAACTGCCCCCTACAGTCTCAACACCACCATCCAGATGAGTTCAGTGTCTCTTACAGTTAGTTCTTACTTATGTTTATCTTTGTTCTTCTTTTACTTCTTTAGACATTACTCGAATGTCACAGAATGGTTTGGGTTGGAAGGGACCCTAAAGATCACCCAGTTCCAACCCCCTGCTGTGGGCAGGGACACCTTCCACCAGACCGGGTTGCTCCAAGCCCCATCCAACCTGGCCTTCAGCACTGCCAGGGAGGGGGCAGCCACAGCTGCTCTGGGCAACCCTGGTCCAGTGTCTCACCACTCTTACTGTAAAAGCTTTCTCCCTTATGTCCAGTCTAACCCTACCCTCTTTCAGGTTAAACCATTGCCCCCTGTTCTGTCACTACAGGCCTTGGTAAAAAGTCTCTCTCTGTCCTCCTTATTAGGCCCCTTTCAGCATAGGGACAAATAAGGTCTCCCTGGAGCCTTCTCTTCTCCATGCTGAACAACCCCAGCTCTCTCAGCCTTTCTTCACAGCAGAGGTGTTCTCGCCCTTGGACCATTTTTCCCTGTCTGTCTTGTACTGGGGACCCCAGAGCTGGATGCAGTGCTCCAGGTGGGTTCTCACCAGAGTGGAGCAGAGGGAGAGAATCCCCTTCCTCGACCTGCTGGCCACCGTGCTCGGGATGCAGCCCAGGATACGCTTGGCTTTCTGGGCTGCAAGCACACATTGCCATCTCATGTCCAATTTCTCATCCACCAGAACCCCCAAGTCCTTCTCCGCAGGGCTGCTCTCAATCCCATCATCCCCCTGTCTGTGTTGATACTGGGGGTTGCCCCGACCTGGGTGCAGGACCTGCACTTGGCCTTGTTGAGCCTCATGAGGTTCACATGGGCTTACTTCTTGAGCTCGTCCAGGTCCCTCCTGTCTCTCGGGAGTGTCAACCACACCACTCAGCTTGGTGTCATCTGCAGACTTTTTGAGGGGGCACTTGATCCCACTGTCTACAAGGAAAGTGCAGCTTTTTATTTTCGTTTTGATCTTACTGCATATACCAAATGGCATCAAAAGTACTATCTTCCCTTTTTCCTGTTCAACTACAGATTCTGCATCAGCTTTTTTTAATTTATTTGCTTGATTATTGCACCATTTCATGATTTTTCAAGTACTACTACTTCCCCACATTAATGCATTCAAAATATGGCTCCTGAAACATTACTGTCCTTTAGTATTAGCATATCAGCTACACTGATCCTTCACTTGCTCTTCCTCCTCTGCTAATTCTGAAATCTGATAGTTCTGTGTGTGTGGTGCAGCATGCAATGGCACTTGACTACGCTCCAGCAGAAAACCTGCACACCCACAGTGGAGCTCAGAAAGACAATGGCAGGATAGGGAGCCCAAATGATACTCTGCCGAGCTACTCCCTGGCTCTCACAGAAACCATCAGCCCATCAGAGGCCCATCTTGCTCAGCCACAGAAGGGAGCAGGATGAGGCTGCCAGTGCTGTCTGTGTGAGTGCTCCGAGTGCCTGTTTGTGATCCCTGTGGCCAGCTGTGTATATACACAGTGAGAACGTGTTTTCTGTGTGCGTGTGCCTACTGAGAACACGTCTTCAGCCTTACTACTGGTTGGAGCTGGGGGCACGGAGTGACAGCAGCCTTGCCTCTCTTGGACTGTTGTATCCAGCATGATATATTTTCCTCTAACAGAGTCTCTCAGACATCTTGCTTTACAGACTTTTCCCAGGGGGAATCTAGATTTAAAGACCTCAAAAATTATGACAGTATGGAACTGACTGATAAGAAACACCAAGATGTAACTGCAAGAATGTATGGAAAGCCTAGGGGAATGGAAATAGAAGAAAAAGACAGAATTCATTAAAGTGTGTTCAAGAATGGCAGGTTACCTGGAGGATTAGGATTTTGGAAAATAGGATAAGAGAAAGTACCTCATATAATTTATTTCGATATTCTGCCACAGACAGCTGGATATCATCACCTAAAGGAAGAATCACATCATAATCCAGACAGGGCTCCCTGGCAGGACAGTGAAACCTAAGAAGATGATAACACATAATGTAATTCACCAAGACTAAAAACAGCACCACAAATTAATGTAATGGTAAAAAGGATTGTTAACATCATCTAGTGCGACCTCTACTGTAAATAGGGTTAGAGAAAATTAAGAACTAGCTTTGTCTATTTTTTAGTATCATGCGTATAAAGAAAACTTGTGCCAAGAGCAGGTCTGTAACACCTCAGAAGACATCAGGGGAAACTGCACATTGGTATTACTCTCACCTTTTCACATAAGGATGCTGCAGAGCTTCCTCTGCTGTAAGTCGTTTAGCAGGGTTAAATACTAAAAGTTTCTTCAGAAGATCCAAGGCAGGCAATGGAGTAGAGGATGGTAAAATCTCCTCAAATGTTACTCGTTGCCTAAAAGTCAGAAAACAATGACATAAGCTCCCAGTGTCTAATTCACAGTGAAGGCATGAATTACAGTTCTGGGAATCACATCAAGGCGACACCTGTCTCCAGAGTTCACTCACAAACAGCGTGTCATAATCCTGGAACACTCTAAAATATAGGCCCGTGAGTATGGTAGAGTCTTTTACCACTCTGATTAGGTTCGAATGCCTCCCTCTTAGCACTAGGAACCTACATGAAGTGCCTAACTAGCAAGTCAAGTCTTTCTCTTTTTAGAGTGAGAGAGATCAGACAGTACCAGACACAAGGGAATACCAAGTTTTCTTTTAAAACTTTACACCCCTTCCCTAGAGGTACGTGAAACTGCACAGAGCAGAAATCATTTCCACTGGTGAACACTGGAAGGTGAACTTCAGGGGAACTTTTTGTCAACATCATACAGTAGATCATTAACTTCTGAGACATACCGAACATACAAGGCTTACCGGGAACTCATGCGGTTAATAACTGAGGCCCTGTAATCTGATTGCATAGCCAAAATATCTGCAAGAATGAAAAGATACTGTTAATGCCAAGATTAGGACTACCAGAGCTACACAGTTTATAAAGGAAAGCAAGTATTTGATATTAACACAGAAAATTATCCTAATAAAACTCTATGGAAGGAAGATGGAATATTTACTTGCAAATTTTCTAAGCTGATTTTCTCAATTCCTATCCATTCTATCATAGATTTCATAAACTTGCACTCTTATACCCACATACGCAGAAGCACCAAGGTATCTGAGGCCAGACCATCCGGCCAGGATCACTTGTGCGGGACACAGAGAACAAGGGATACCAGCTATCTCCTCATCATGTCTGCTGGGGTTCTTTTTGATTGGTGACAATGAACTTTTTTCTGAACATATCTGTCATACTCTCAAAGAGTCAACGGTTGCTATGGAATGTGGTTTTACTTCAGAATCTTGCTTCTTTGGTCTCCATAAATCCTAGGCGAAGTTGCTGCTCATAGGTTTGTTTTCCTTGTTCGCAATAATGTTTTGAACAAGCGCCTGTTTTCACTTGTTTGGGATAAAGAAAAAGAAATTTGGTCCATAATATGCTGCAACCTTGCAGCCATTGTCCTGTGGTATGGACACAGCACCTTCTGCTAATGAGTCATTTGTCCTGTGGTCTTGCCTTAAAGTGCAGACCTTCTGGTTATGGCATTATCAACACATTCCTCAGTTGTATTGCTGAGAATGGAATAGCATTTTTTGTTATTAGTGATGGCTATTCTAATTCCTGCTTTGGTGTTTTCACGCACACATTTCCATTATATTTAATTCACAGCAACCAAATCTCTAATAAAAACTATAAATAACTTCAAGCTTGAATGGAATTCTCCAAAACTGTGATGTCCTTAAACTGAAGCTAGTTATTTTTCTAAAAACTACTTGCTAGCTCAGTTAGAAGATATCAACATGTTGTAAACGTCCCTAAAGTCTATGGGCTATTAGAGTGGAGCTCATAGAAGACAATCATCATCATCATCATAATAATCATCCTTTTTGCATTTAACATATATTTGCTCCATCTTTCCCTTCTCCATTTAAGACTTCCAGACCAGAAAGTCCAATTTTTACTTCTACTATGCAAGTCCCACTGAAGTATGATACTCTGTTTTAAACTGTGTTATCCTCTTATAAATCCCAAAAATGTTTTGAAGGCCTGGTTCTTGTTTTTCATCTCATCAAGGATGGGCTTATTCTCCTCTAACACTAACATTTCACAATTAAGTCTTTAATTTCCTTGGAAAGGTGTTAGAACAACTCACAAGAGATACCTTCTTCCCTGATCCACCTAGGCTGCTTTCTTTCACTCTTTTAATCTCTTCTTTAAATACCTTTCCGTCTAGAAAAGTCTTACCTTCTGGGGATGGGGCAGGAATGACCCTCAAGATCTGCTCTATTTGATTCACAGTTGATGTTCCAGGAAAAAGAGGTTTCCCAAGTAGCAGCTCTCCCAGAATACAGCCAATGCTCCACATGTCTACACCTTTAGTGTAACTACAAATAAGAATGGAACAGAGTTAGAACTAAATCAAGCAAGTATTTTTCTGTACCTGGTATTCACATCATCTACATCAGCTTATTTTGCTAGAAAAACAAGCTATTCAAGGAGTCATATGAATGCTTACAGGTTTTAACTATAAAGTGAATGAGATTCAGGAATCATGACACTGGAAAGCATAAAACAGAATGCAGATTTATCCCACTAAAAGTCTATTCTAGGAAATCATAAAAGGAAAGCGTGTCCAGAGGAGGGCAACAAAGCTGGTGAAGGGCCTAGAGCACAAGTCTTATGAGGAGCAGCTGAGGGAACTGGGCTTGTTTAGCCTGGAGAAGAGGAGGCTGAGGCTCCAGAGACCTTATCGCTCTCTACCTGAAAGGAGGGTGTAGCGAGGTCAGTCTTTGCTCCCAAGTAACAAGCAATAGGACGAGAGGAAACGGCCTCAAGTTGTGCCAGGGGAGGTTTGGGAAAAATTTCTTCACCAAAAGGGTTGTCAAGCACTGGAACAGGCTGCCCAGGGAAGTGGTGGAGTCCCCACCCTGGGAGGTGTTTAAAAGACATGCAGATGTGGCACTATAGGACATGGTTTAGTGGTGGCCTTGGTAGTGTTGGGTTAACGGTTGGACTTGATGATCTTAAAAGGTTTCCAACCTAAATGATTCTATAAACTATATTAAAGGTAAATGTCAGGACAAGGTAATACACACTTTTCATATGGCCAACAGCGATGATACGGGTTGCTGTTTGGAAACAACTGACTTTTCAGAGCCTAATGTATCCAGAAAGTAGTTAAAATTACTTAAGCAAAGTTAATGCTAAACAATGGGTAAATGACAGTTTGAAAAACATCCACTTTTCAGATTTGGGATACTAACCCAACCTATACTTATTTTATTTTCTGATCAATAAGATTTTGTATATTCAAGTCAAAAAAAGGATTAAGCCACACTAATAGGCAGCTGATTTAACATTTGATTACAGAATACTTTCTGAAGGTCTTTCAAAAAAACCTCTCGTTAAATTTGGAAAAGAGGACTAAGATACTCAACCAAATTTTGTAAAGATGCAGATTTAAGGGGAGAAAGAGTAAATATAGTGGGAGAAAGGATGACAAACAGATGAGCTGATAATGTATGTAAATGGACAATCTAAGAAGGCAGGAAGGAAATGTACATAATGCATATTGAGAAAACAGACTGCTGACATGACATTGAATCTGGTGACATCTAAAATGAAAAGATTTAAGACGTTTAGACAATAAATTTTCCCAGTGGTGAAGAAATTACAATATCCCATCCCTTCGCTCATATTAAGTGGTTACCTCCGAGAGGAAAGTAAGATCTCGGGTGCTCGGTACCAGCGTGTTGCCACATATTCTGTTAGGGCAGGGTTGCCTTGGTCCTCATTCATCTGACATAAAGAACGGGCCAGCCCAAAATCACAAAGTTTAACAAAGCAGTCTGCATCCAGCAAGATATTTGAAGGCTGAATTGAACAAAGGCAAATTAATGAGCTTTTTAATGGCAGAAGATTATTATCAAGGTTCTTTTACTAGTCTCATTCTTTTTATACTTTGCCATTTAGTGTTTAACAGAAAACTTGAGTGAAGGATAAAGACTTTGACTGAAATATACCTTCTGATCTCTGTGAATAACATTTCCTGAGTGGATGAATTTAGTTGCCTTCAGGAGTTGGTAGAGAATGTAACACTTGTGGATATCTTTCAGCAAATTCCCCTTCTTAATCACAGCATGTAAATCTGTCTCTGTAATATATTACATCAGTAATATATTTACATCAATAAGATTACCAAGTTGTAAATATAAGCTCCTCAAAGCAAGGCCAAAATAGACCATTGTCCAAGCTGTATTCTTTCAAGTGCATCCTCAACAGAAGTTAACACTGTAATTACTAATAGTACTGCAACCTCTCTGTAGTATCAGTTTGACTTGCAGCTCATGCTACAGTAACCATTCCATTATTGCATACTTTTGTCATAATAAAATTGCACATAGTCTCTTTCACATGCAACTCTTCTGCCTTTACAAGCTTTCTAATTTGTTGCTCACTGCCATCTTTCCTCCACCTCAGCCAAACAGTTCTCATATAATTATTACTCCCTTTACAGTTTCACTCCTATTCCCATCTAATCGCAACCAATATATATAAAAAAACCCTTGTACTGCTCCTACTTATATGTCTACTGCATGAATATTCATGTAAATCATCAACACACTACTATCAAAGTAGGGAACAAAGATAACTCGTAAGAGGGGCTATATTTAAATGGCCGATGCAATGCTAAGTCTCACCCATGGACTCGAAGATGAGGTAAATGTCCTTGTCGTTCTGAGCTCGGATAACATCAAGCAGCTTGATGATATTTGGATGTTCTCCAAATTCCTGCAGAGGGAAGAGATCCAACTGTCAAAATCAAGTGTCTTGCTTGTAAATCATAAAAAAGGACAATAACCTTTTTCATTTTGTATTATTGTCTAAATCAAACATTAACATGCTATTTCCTTCATTATGCTTCTATTGAAATAAATAAAAAAAGGAATTAAGCTTGCTCCACAGTATGAAACCAGCCAGTTAATCTACAAAAAAACAACCAACAAACCAACCAACCAACCCTCTGTTGTCTAAGACATTTGTTCTAAAAATCCCTCCATACCATTGTGAATAAAATGCTGTCAACTTTACGCACCTCATATTTCCTACTGAATGCAAAGAATTATTCTGGCAGTGACAATAGAACAAAGTTGCCATCAACATTCATTACTAAAAAAACCCCATCCAACCAGAAAGTGTCCGTTTGAGGGTAGGCTGATACACTCTACAGGCTGCATTGACTGAATTGACTGTAACAGGAGATGACAGACAGCATACAAAGATAAACCTAAATACAGGTATCTTAAACTGGAGCTGAATTCTATCCTCCTGTTTGCAGACTGACAATACTGTCAAGATCGTTTACTTCACGCACAGTCTTAACAACTTTTATTTCCTAAAACTAACACTTCTGCACAGCCAGGGACACTGCGAACACTTCACAATATGCCAACATTTTCATGAACTATGCCGAGTATAAAATTATAAATAGCTGCACCATAAAACCTATGCTTATATCTAAAATACATACATTATTTTTCTGTTATTTGAAGCAGTAATATAAACTCTTTATTTCCATCACAAATGCAGTTATAAACAGTATAAAAAAATAATCACCTCCAGCAATCTTACAACAGCATCATCTTCCTAGACTCTAAGGCCAAGAAAAAAAAATGGTTCTAATGCACAACATCTAGAAAAATCCACAAACCACCCCACTCACCTGCAGCAACCCATGAAAATACACTTACAAAAAAGCAATATACAGACAGGCCATCAAATACCCTTGCATTCATTCTGAGGACAAAAAGGTTTTACCCAAAAGAGATTTCTAGAGATGCAGATCAGTCTTGACAATGTTACTGGAGAACTGTTTAAGAACTTACTTCACACTGAAGGAGAACCCCACTGTCTTGCTCTGGAACTGTTAATGGGAAATTATGAAAGAGTTTCAATCTATACTAAAAAAATCCTACCTTGAAAAAAAATCTTGTCAGAGCCAGTCCTACTTATCTTTGCTTAAAGAACAATGTTCTCACTAAAGTAATTACCAAAAATGACATTCTAAAATGTGGCCCAAAATGCACCAAATAGATCTACAATTCCACTGAAGAATAAATATAAAACCTGCAAGCAGCATAATGACCAGCATACTACGAATTACCCAGAATAGAATCATCAAAATGCCCAGATTCTAGATCAACACTTCTCAATTACAATAAACTTCATCCAGTCCATCAAATGCCTTTATAATAAACATACAGATTAAACTAAGCAATCATTACGCACAGGAAGGAATTTGCACAGAGAAGCAAATTAAGACAAACATCCAGTTACCAATGAAAGAATATTTCTTACAGCCTTCCCTTTTTGATCTCTCAGTCCTGAACCTCAAGAAAGAGCTATAAAATACCTTCAAAAATAGGAGAGGGAAACTAAAATTCTTAAGTCTGTTGAGCACCAAAAGCCACAAAAGTAAGGGCATAATGGCACATTAACCTCCCTCCCCCAAAATGAATCATTCCTTCCTTCAGGAGAAATACCCTTCTTTTTCTTCTCCTCCACCCATCTACTCCAGAAGTGCGATACTTTCAGAGATGATCTAACTTACAGGTAATTAACATCTAATGAATTGTTCTCATATGTTTTCAGCTCTTAAGTTTGCAGCTTCTATTTTAGGCTTAAAGAGTGATTAAAAAGTAAAAAACCTCATCTCTTTCCTACTTAAACTTGACAGTCTCAGGACACACCTCTTCCTATAAGCCCTGCCTTGCTTGTGTCCTTAGAAAAATCATAGTTATTACAACATTATCACTATTCCAAAACATTGATGTTTCTACATGATAAGTCTGTGAAGGAATGGACAGATAATTTTAATGCCATTGTCACTGATAAGGTAATTAGGCATAGTGTGTGGTCAGTTATATGAAAACAAGAGCAGCCTTAATTAATTCTATACAGAACTTCCCTTTTAGTTTGGCTTTGATTATTTCAAGTGGTCAAGTTGCTTTCCACGTGATGGCAGAAAAAAATTTTGGCATGTAAATCTCTTCCACACCCCAGCCCCAGCTCTGAATCATGGCATTTAAATTTTAAGAAAAACACTTTCTGTCCACAAAGAAGTTAGAAGTGACAGAAAGCACAAGTCAGTATGAGATCCTAGAGCAGACATACTGCTAAAAGTGGTGAAAGGACAGGGCATGTCTCAAAGGAAAAATAAGACCAGCTCTCCATTTCATTCAGGTGTTTTTGCCCCATCACGATAAGACCGTTTGGCAAGCTGGTGCAGAGAAGAAATGAATAACATTGTCGACACTGATAATTGCCTTGTGAAAAATAATGGGAGGAAAATATGTGAACAACATCAGAGACAATTAAAAATCAGAGAGGAGGGAGGAAAAATGGACGTTACCTGCAGGAACATAATCTCTCGAAATGTCCTCTAGAAATAAACAAAAATAGAGTTTATTATCACCTCAACAGAATGACAGAACAGAGTATGGATTTCCAATGAGAGGGTTAAATCCATTCTAATCTCTAAAGCAGAGGAAACCTTTACATGGTAGACAGGCTAGGAAAAACCCAGTTGCTCACACAGTGCTCTCTGTGCTTAGACACCACAGCACAACAACATATGGGAGAATCAATTGTGCCTGCCTATGAAGGCACTTTTCCTCAGGGACAGCAAACAGTATTTTGTAGATGCCGTGAAATACAAAGCTTGACATTTGTAGCTCCTTTTTATCCTAATATAGCTGTAGACTGTATTATTACATGCATAATTGTCAAATAACTAACATCGTTCAGAGACATAAATCCTGAAAATATCTATGAACTCCCACCACATCTTTCAGGATATGATAGAACAATGATTTCTCACCTGAGCATCTGTTCTGTTCCTGAAAGCATCAAAAATCTTTTTAACAGCAACTATTTCTCCTGTTCTGCGATCAATTGCTTTCCATACAATGCCATAAGCCTGGGGAGAAAAAAAGGACAAATGAGCAGTGTACTCTTAAGCAGAGACCCCCAGTGTGGAAGTAGAATGTACTTAACAGAGGGACTGAAAGAAGAGGTAGTTACCAGCTACCTAGAAGAAAGAGAGACTAGGCCAAAGAGCAATACTTAGTGGAGTCAAGGATGAAGAACATGTATACTGAGTCCAAACGAAGGTCCACAAGGTCAAGCATCCTGGCCCCCAAAGCAGCCAACAGCAGACGTACATGCTTATGAAGTTCAGCAAGGTCAAGCGCAAGGTCCTCCACCTGGGTCGGAGCAACCCCCAGTATCAATACAGACTGGGGAGAGGAACGGATTGAGAGCAGCCCTGTGGAGAGAGAAGGACTGGGGGTACTGGGGGATGAAAAGCTGGACATGAGCCACAAACGTGCGCTTGCAGCCCAGAAAGCCAAGTGTATCCTGGGCTGCATCCCAAGAAGCAGGCCAGCAGGTCGAGGGAGGGGATTCTCCCCCTCTACTTCACTCTGGTGAGACCCGACCTGGAGCACTGTGTCCAGCTGCAGGGTCCCCACTAAAAGAAAGACACGGACCAGCAGGCCATGAAAATGGTTGGGGTTGTTCAGCCTGGAGAAGAAAAGGCTCCAGGGAGACCCCATTGTGGCCTCTGAAGACTTAAAGGGGGCTTATAAGAAAGATAGAGACAGATTTTTTTTTTTCTGAGGCCTGTAGGGAGAGTATCACAGAATCATTTAGGTTGCAAAAGACCTTTAAGATCATCGAGTCCAACCGTAACCCAGCACTGCCAAGTCCACCACTAAATCATGTTCTTCAGCAGCACATCTACATGTCTTTTAAATACCTCCAGGAATGGTGACACAACCACTTCCCTGGGCAGCCTGTTACAAAGCTTGACAACCCTTTTGGTGAAGAAAATTTTCTTAATGTCCAATCTAAACCTCCCCTGGCGCAACTTGAGGCCGTTTCCTCTTGTCCTATCGCTTGTTACTTGGGGAAAAAAAGAAAAGAGACATCCCAATTGCCAACAGTGTAGTATTACAGCACTTATCTGAGATACTTATAGTCCAACTGTTTGTACTTCCTCATGCACGGCAAAGGATCTGCCCCCATACTGCAGGACCACAACGTCATTATTAGAGTATTTAAGCATGAAAATCACTCAATATTACATATTGCAGCTGTTTTACTTTGTATGTGTATTCAAACATTAACTGGGCATTTCTGAGTAAGAAATGACCCCATCGTGCAGATGTAAGGCATCTCCTAGAATGTGGAAAGTTAAGATTCAAATCTATGACCTAAAAATACAAAAACTGGATGTGTACCACAACGGAGGTGGAGTAGTCACAATTTGCAAGTATCACAGTCATCCAGAACAGGGAAAACTCAGGCAGAAGTTTCTGTTCCCTTAGTAGACATCACAGCTTTTAATCAAAATAAATAAATAAAAAATTAAACCAGAACAGTTTGAATTCCCTCACTGCACGGGAACAGCTTATCTCCCTTGCTGCTGCACTTCTCTACTTTCTTTTTTGGGCAGTCCCCACCTGTTCTGGGGACTCCAACAGCCTTTTAAGTGCCCAGGGAAGTACATCAGCTGTGTACTTACACAATCCACACAGAACTTTCTGCATGCAAGAGGCAGAAAACGCAGGTATTTGGGACACTGGAACCACCTGAGTTAAGAGCTCGGCTAGTAGTTTTGGTAACGTCAGTGACGCTTAGATGATGGACCTGAAGCCACTAAAATCCTTGAAAGACCTGAATGTATGTAGTTATGTTTGTGAAAGTCTCCAAATAGAACTCTTAAACAATTTGATACTTCAGGTAAAAGAATAATATCATTCTGTTCGAAGAACCTAGCATGTTAAAAGATGTAGTGACTGGGAAGAGTGGCTGGAAAGCTGCCCAGCAGAAAAGGACCTGGGGTTGGTGGTCGACAGCCGGCTGGACAAGAGCCAGCAGCGTGCCCAGGTGGCCCAGAGGCTAATAGCATCTTGGCTCGTATTAGAAACAGTGTGGTCAGCAGGACCAGAGAAGCAGTCGTGCCCCTGTACTCGGCACTGGTGAGGCTGCACCTCATATACCGTGTGCGGTTTTGGGGTCCCTCACTACAAGGCATTGAGGTGCTGGAGCATGAAGACAAGGGAATGAAGCTGGTGAAGGGTCTGAGGTCTTACGGGGAGTGTCTGAGGGAACTAGAGTTTAGCCTTGAAAAAGAGAAGGCTGAGGGGAGACTTTGTCACCCTTTACAACTGCCTGAAAGGAGGGTGCAGCAAGGTGGGGTCAGTCTTTGCTCCCAAGTAACAAGTGACAGGATGAGAGGAAATGGCCTCAAGTTGTGCCAGGGGAGGTTTAGATTGGACATTGGGAAAAATTTCTTCACCAGAAGAAGAAACCTTCACTGTCAGGCACTAGAACAGGCTGCCCAGGGAAGTGGTTGAGTCCTCACCCCAGGAGGCGTTTAAAGGATGCATAGATGAGGTGCTGAGGGACGTGGTTTAGTGGTGGCCTTGGCAGTGCTGGGTTACGGTTGGACTTGATCTTAAATGTCTTTTCCAACCTAAATGATTCTATGATTTTACACCCGGTCAAAGGGAGAAAGCTGATAACTAGTAACAAGATGGCAGCAAACCTCAAGTCAGAGGCAAACTTAGAACGAAATACAGCTGTAAGAAAGATCGGTGTGAATTCAAAGGGTGAAAAAACCCAACATTGTCTTATGAGGATAATGAAGAAAATGAGCCTCTTGCAAATGCTCCCTTGTAACTGCACATGAAATACTTAACTAGTAGTATCAACACAACTAAACAATGACAAAGAGCTGCCAGAATAGAAAAGCAGACAATCGGGAAACGTTTAGAGACTGTCTGAGGAGAAAGATCTCAGAAATGAACGTTGGCTCACATTTAAAGATACGTCATTTTATGAGGAAAAATATTACTTGATGTGGCATAATACTCAAAATAATGTGGTGACTGTAAATGCAAAAGAATGTGGCAGGCACAAACAGAATATATCTTGAGACTCAGATTCATTTCACTATAAGCCAGGTGTACACACAAGGTCGGTGCTTTGTGTGGCAGTTCTCCAGTAAGCTACAGGAAAAAACCAACCTGACGGGAACGTACAGGTATTTTCGGTTTCACATGCTACAATATAACGCTTCCCTGCCTCTGAAATTCAGGTGTAAAACAACTACGAGTCACAAAAAGTTATCAGGCTACGATTTATGATTTTTTCCCCCCTCTATTAGGCACAATAAATATTCCAAAGTCCAGGTTTTCTTCACATATATAAACTCTCAGACTTCCAGCACAGCCGCGGCCCGGGTCAGCGGCCTGCAGCAGG